AAATTTATTTATTCTAATAGTTTTTATAATAGTTTCAATTTTATTTACTAAAAATATTCTAATTTGAGAAATTTTTGAATAGTCTTTAAATATAACAAGATATTTACAATGATCTGTAGTTGATATTATAAAATTATAAAATGAATTTCTATTTGGTGAAAACTATCTATCAAGAGCAAAAGTTAAAAAGTTATATTTTTATAATTTAGAATTAACTTTAAGATTAAATTTTATAATTTTTTATTCCAATAATCTATTAAAAAATGTTATATGACTTAGTAGATTATATGTTGAATTAAGCTATTTAAATAAATTAATAATAAATAGATTATTAATAATATCAAATGAGATTCCTGTTGCAATCCATGCTTTTAAAACATCCTTGTTAATCTCATTTTGTTCATATACTGACAATATCTTATCTGAATTATTATTTATATTTAACTGATCTAATTTAAAATGTTTTGTTTTTTTATAATTTAATAACATTTTTAAAAAGTGATTCTTGTCAATATTTTTTAATATTTTTAGAAACTCTAGAACATATTAGCAAGATAAGCTTCCATATCACCAGGATGTCCACTACTCCAAGACTTTAAATAATAATAACAAGATGCACTATGATAACCAATATTACTACTGGTTATATAATACTCTCAAATTTTTTCTCTTGGTCGACCAATATTTTTGCATTTACAATTAGTATGTTGATCTTGCTGTTTAGTATCTATTAACATATTTTCCTCTGAATATGTGTCAGCTTGTGATGATGCATTTGAATATAAATTCGATTCTTCAGTCATATTAAAAAAACAAGTTTAAAAATGATTTATTATGTTCGAATTCAATGACTCATTATATTCGAATTCAGATATTTACTTATTACAATAACAAAGTTGAACTTTTTTATTACGTCAATCATAGCTTTAATCATAGCTTTAACTATACAGTATGTACTGTACGTATTTTAGAATTTATAATACAAAATTTAATTATCGATTATTGCAATATTTATCAATTATCATAAATAAAATATTTTTGCACTGATAATATTGTTTATTGAAATTAATTAAGTTGACAACGCTAGTATTAACCTAATCCTAATTAATATATTAAAAATTTTGTAAACACGGGAGGCGAAATTCACTCCCCGTTAATTTTAGTTATTTTCATTAAATAATATATATAAAATCGCGCAATGTAACTTTGCGTGAGGTTGTGAATATATGCTAGTTTGACCTCGCGCGAGGTACATCTCTACAAATTAACTAGTTAACTGGCACGTCCTTGTGTCCATGCTTTTACTAATATAGATTATTATTAAAATAACTTTATATAGAATTTTCTTTTACGTATCATAAAATTAGATTTACACTTTATTGATATTGTTTCATATGAAATAATTTTTACAATTAATTATTTGTATTAATAATAAATAACGTATATTAAAATATATAAGTGCCATAAGAATATAGTAAAGAAATTCTTAAAATTATTTTGTTCTTAGGAGTATTAATGATAATTTTATGTTTCCACAACATTATAATTAAAATAGAAATTTCGAATTTTTTATTCTCAAACCATTATAAATAAAATAGAAAATTTATGTTCTCAAATAAGAACTTAAAGTTTGAACTTTTGTTCTCAAAGTATTTTTTAGAAAATTAGATATTCAACACTTCACTTGCTATGAATAAAAAAAAATATGCTTTAATATTTATGACATAATAATATTTCCAAATATGTTAATATAAATAATTACCTCATGAACATTCACAATAAATATTCCATTTAAATAAATAAAATACTTTCGATATAGTAATTTATTTATTTGTTCGCCCGCATTTTATTTTGATAAAATTCAATCTCTCTTAATTGAGCAGTAACACATTTATTACATTTACATAAATCACCATGAGAAGTAGACGATTCTATCATACACGTTTCAATATTTGAACTATTTTCCATAATATTTTGTTCACCAACATACTCAATATCTTCACTATCATAATCATCTGAAATGAAATTATTACTCGATTTCACGAAATCATTCTCAGATTGAGAAGAAGTTGGTGAACTATTATTGGAAGTAAATTTTGGATAAATTTGAGGTCTTTTTGGAGGAACAATCGGAATAGATGAACGAGTTTCACTCCTTGAACGTCGATGAATTTGACTCGGAATATATTGAGAATTATTATAAAATCCAGTTTTTGGTCCTTCTGGTAATAAATTTTCGAAACGCCTTCCAGTAGATGTGAATACTGGAATTGTTGGTGATAAAGGACTAGTTTTCATTGGAACTGACTCATCTTTTGTTTGGTCTGAATGATATGATGATATTGGTATTTGAAAATCCCTAGTCATAATATTTTTTCTGGATTTCTGATATAATGGCGGGCTAGGCTCTCTCGTTGATTTTATATATTTTACATCATCGTCATCAGTATATTCCACATCTTAAAAAAAAGATTAATTTAAATGAGTCACTGAAAATTAACACAAAGAAAATTTAGAATGTTAAGAACTTAAATACCTGAACTTATCGGTTTGTTCGAATGGAATTCTTTCTCATCAACTTCCTCAATCGTTTGTTTAACAAATTCTTTTAAAGGCGACCTTGGTTTAGAAACCATATCAAGAATATTTGATATCTGTTGTTTAATTTCATCATTTTCTTTCTGTAATCGTTCTATTTTAAGTTTTTGAGCTTGACTATCTTTATTTTGAATTAATAAATCTGCTTCTAATTCAAAAACTCTTTCTCTAAGTGATTTTACATCATCCTTTAAATCATTATCAGTTAGAACAGAATGATTACTAGATTGATAATTCGATTGGGAAGATAAGATTGCAGCAGTAGTTTCATGTTCTGATTGATTATTTTTGGATAATTCTAATTGATCAATTCTGTGACGTAAAAGTTCAATAGTTTTTGCTTGTTCCTCTAATTCTTTAATGAATGGGTTCATTGATAATAGTTCAGTTAATTTTATTTGATAATCTCGGAATTGATCCGTTCTTTCATTAACTTCTGTCATGTTGAAAAAAATTACTTGTAAAAATGAACTATTTGAAAATTTGACAAGTTATTTTTTATGCCAAGAAAAAAACCTTTATATATTTATACTATACGAAAAAAACAAAACCAAGTTTGTGTGATCACAGGTTTTAATCTATTAAGTACGCACGTAAGTGACACAGTTGTCTTAAATTTTTGTCTCACTATAAACCTTGGTCATAAATACGATTGGATTTAATAATTGCGATTCGTCATGATGCCGATATTTCCATAAATAATTTTTTTCCGATGACGTTTTAGAATTCTAGAAGGACTTTCAATTACCCGAATTGCCCGGGTAACTTATTTATACACTTTAGATTATTTTTTTTTTGAGAATGCAACGTTTCACAAAAGTTCCAGCTTAACCAAAAATCAACATGCCTTTCGACCTTTTTTTTTATTAAACATATAAAACAAATTTCTTCTAATGAATATATTGCAGAATAGTACTGTATTTATTTTGATTAATATTTCGCAAACAATTGTACATAATTTTGAATAATTTAACTCAAGAATTATACAATTTATTAAATGTTTTATCCATAATATAGAGTGGTTTTATCTGTTTGTGGCAATTAGTGATCCTGGCCGATAGTGAAAAAATCGGCTTAGCCGGTCGATTTTTTTCTAAAAGTTCTAATAAGCATAGCAGAAGTTCATTTTGATTGGCTATTGATTTACCTCGGAAAATGTGTCGATCATACCTCGGATAAAGCGTCGATTATATCTTACAATGAATCATTTTTGATTGGCTAATTTATTTATCATTTTTTCGTTTTACTGTTACTAAATAATGCCGGCAAGCTTTATAACTTTCTTTGAACAGTGTAGAATTTATTCGAACCTTAATAACTTTGTAAAATGAAAAATTAAGATTGCTCTGAATTATATATATTTTATAGCAAAATTACATAAGGTATGAATCACGATAAGACGATGCTATGCTGGAACTTTAATACGTACAAGCTTGAAGTATTAATCCATTTTGGTTGCATATTTCAGGTAGTAAGTTACCAACTTAGAAATAAAAGTCAATTTGGTAAGACATAAATAGATAACTATTTTAATAAAGACTGTTACAAACTTCTAACATCTTTAAACAATCCTCAATCAATTCTCGATCTGAGTTGTAAGTTTGCAAACTTTAATGTCTCGTGTAGAGATTAAGCCCGGGTAACCCGCGTAAGCATCATTTAACTGGGTCATGGTCATTCTAACTGAGTAACCCGGATAAAAAAAATAAAATAAAGCCTTCATATGATTGGCTATTTTAAAATCATGAAAAAATTGGGTCACATAGCAAATAGAGTCATAATACGTACTGTACGTACATACGTGCTAGGATTTTTGATGAGAATTTGGTTCATAATTAAAATCAGTAGAAATTATCTCGGGGTTTAATAATAATAAAATTAACCAACTTATTGTTTGCTACAAAGTCTATAGCACGGGACAAGTTAATCTCTTTATAGTGAACCCTCGTTATAGTGACTTTTAGTATAGTGAAGAATTTTTAAAAACAATATTATTAAAATTCAGTTCGATATAGTGAAGTACATATAGTAATCGCTCGTTATAAGCTATAGTAAAGTTTTTTTTCCAGCCCAAAAACTTCACTATAAAGAGAGTGACTTGTATTAATAAATAACTTTTAAAAATACTAATACCTGACGCTTGTTCAATTCTCGACCTTTTGCAAATCTTCCTCTTCTTCTAATCTTAACACTCGTGTTTTACCAATTTTAGTTAAAGAGTTAAATCCTTGAAAAAGACCCTTTAAATTAATAAGCTTCTGTGTAAGATATGTTATTTTATCCAATTAAATTGCAAAGGGAAAGTCTCCGGGTCCTTCGAACTCGGTCCAATTAACATTACTATGATTAATGTAGTGCATTATGTGGTTTCTTGTAATAGAAACTGAAGCACCGAATTTAAAATCAATTCAAAAGTCCAACTCGAAAAACTAACTTGGACCAAAATTTTCATGTCTCTACAATTATAAGGAGGATGCTGTATAATTTCGATTTTTTTATTTATTTTATTTACCGTTACAGTAGCAAAACTTCCGTATCGGTTTTAGATGCAGTGATTGATGAATTGAACCTGTCTTTTTTATGAGATATAACTGATAAGGATGTTTAACGTTAACTTATTACTGTATATGTATATGTTATTAGTTCCTTTATTTATTTTTTTTTTTACCGTAGTGTTTTCTTTTGAGTTATTTAGAAGACTCAAATTATTTTTAAACTATTAGCGTTAGTTATCTTTTTTAGTAAAAAACATATATTTATTTGGTCATTTGGTCATTTGAAAGTCATTTAAGAAAAAAAAAATGCTCATGGGGCATTCCGAAAAACGTGTAATAGCTTCTAAATTAGTATATAGTACATGATGTTGCATGATATTCACGCAAAATTCGCGTTGTAATAATTTCATAATTAATTATAATTATTAACGCGTCTCATAAAAATCCCATAAAAAAAAAATTAGATATATAAAGACCTTCTTTTTTTCTTTCATTTCTTCATTCTCTCATTTTCTAACTCTCGAGATTATAAATTGAGTTAAATTACTCTCTAACTCTTGAGATTATAAATTGAGTTAAAGCTAGGGGTGAGGACGAAAGTCCAAGGAACCCCGTGAACAACCTAGCTTATATGATACCGGAAAACCGGTGGATTATAAGAAGATGGGTTGGGGTTAGCCTTCTCAACCAAGAAATACGAATAGGAGGATTAATTTTTTAAATTAATTCTCTGAAACTAAGTATTTCAAAAAATTTTAATAGCGGTGAGGGAGGAATTAATATAAAATATTTATTGTATTTTTTAATTGTAAAAATTTTTTTTTAATTAATAAAGTAAATTATCGTTAATTTAATATTTATTTAAAGTTGAAAAAAACTTTGTAAATGTATACGATAGTATGAAAAATAAAAATAAATTTAACAAACTACCAAATATTACGAAAGTTATTTTAACTTTAGTTTCTAGTTTAATACTAGTAATAATTTTATTAATTTTTTTTTAATTGTATATTAATTGATTAGTGCGTTGCCATTATTTAGAGATGACTCATTTCGATACGAAATTTTAGTCAGTTTATTACTAAGCTTTTTTTAATTAAATTTAATCATTTCGAAACTTTATATAGTTCTAGAATGTTAAAATCATTAATTCTATTATGAGATCTTCAATATTTTATATTAAACCAAAATTGCTTCTTTATAAGTAATTCAGAAATTTATTATTGGTAATAGTACATACGTTTT